TCTCCGGCCATGCTGAGGCCGCGTCCCACATACAGCAACTAGAAGGATGTGCAACTATGACGTACAACTATCTACTGGGGCTTTGGGGAAAAAAAAAAGGAGGAGGATTGGCAGTAGATGTTAGCTCAGAGCCGGTCTTCCTCAGCAAAAAGAGGAGGATTAGCACGGATGTTAGCTCAGGGCTGATCTCCTTCACAAAAAAAAAAACAATGATGATCAATAACTCTGACAAGACAAAAGATGCTCATAAGAATCAGGGGATATTACCAGGAATGCCAACCTCGGCTATTTGGAAACTAAACCATGTGACTTAGAGAAAAAGATTTTTAAACAAGTATTACAAAATTAGAGTGGCAGTGCCTGTTCCATCTAGCTCTTTTAAAAATACATAAGCAATCTCGGACTAACAGATGTGCCTCCAACGCTGTGATTTTATTTATACGTTGGGCAGCAGACTTAAGCTCTAATTAACTTGAGACCAAGAATACCAGCTGGGCCAACACAGGGCCCTGGAGCTTCCTAGAGGTTGGAGAACCTCTCTCCAGCAGTGTCATCTTTTGCAACATAGTTGCATTGCTCTCAGCACCCATTGTTGGCAGGTACGGAGCATCTCACATTCATTTCAGAGTGGGCGTATAGAGTCTTTCTTCTCCTTGTTATAAATGGTATTGATATAGAGTCTAACTAAATGTCTTCCCAAGTATTAAAATTATACCCCCAAATACAATTATTTCCCACTTCTACTGACATTCAAAAATGTTTATTTCTGCAAAGAAAGAAAAAGTGTTAGTATTTTTTGCTCATATATTTTCCCTCCTTCAACATTGCTTGTATATTTTCAGAAGGAAAACTAAATCTTTTTGACTAAGGCACTCTAACTTCTACTAAAGCACTGTTCTCCCCATTTTTTCCTTCCTTTCAAACATCAACTGCTGCTGCCTGCAGAGCCTTCTGGGAGTCGAACAGGCTTCGTCCTTAGCAGGATGGACAAAAGGCTGAATAAAAGGGGGCGGCAAGCGGGTTTTTGTCCCTATCTAGACCAGAAGGACAGCAAACCAATGTGCGTCTCCTCTGTTCAGGTGCTTCTCATTCCCCTCCCCATTTTCAGTATTTCTTTCCCCAACGTGTATGGCCTCTAAGCCACCAGTGCACTTCCAATTTTACTTAAGCAGGGACGTAGAACAGCCTGGGCTTTCTTTACAGAGTCACTTCTTTTGTTTCTGTTCCAATCTCAGCTGTGGGACTCTTGCTTTTTTATTATGTTTCTTTACTTGGTCCTCAGTTCCTCGTTGTGCTAACTTCCATGCTTTTGTTTATCAAAGTTTTTGATAAATTAAGTTTTTATTCTTGAGAGATCCTGGCCTTGCCCCCACTAACTTTTAAAAATTATTTATAAACTAAGCATTTTAGAAGAATTGTTTCTTTTCCTGGTCCTGCGGTGTTGCTGTATGTGTTAACCAGCTGTTACTTAGAGATTAGAGGGAATGACCAAGAACTAATACCACATTGGCACATACCTCCTTCAAGGGCTGACCACCCCTGCTCCTGCCCCCCACCAACAGATACCAGCACCCCAATTTTAGAATGTTAGCTGATACCGCGGACATGCATATTGTAGGGATTCTGTGCAGATCCAGTATAAAGATCATCTGTTCTGGTACATTTGAAATAAAATAGAACCCTTTCTTCCACAGCATGGAAGATGTTCTTTTCAGGATCTGGATCTCAAATTTTTCTTTTGAGTTAGAAAGAGATATAGAGGTAGAGCTGGTGAGTAAACTTAATAGAGTCCAGGGTTTCAATAAAACAACTACCAGGGCCGGCCCAGTGGCGCAAGCGGTTAAGTGCGCGCGCTCCGCTGCAGCGGCCCAGGGTTCGCCGGTTCGGATCCCGGGCGCGCACCGACGCCCTGCTTGGCAAGCCATGCTGTGGCGGCGTCCCATATCAAGTGGAGGAAGATGGGCACGGATATTAGTTAGCCCAGTCCCCATCTTCCTCAGCAAAAAAAGAGGAGGATTGGCAGATGTTAGCACAGGGCTGATCTCCTCACAAAAAAATAAAAATAAATAAAACAACTACCACGTGGGTCTGATGAGAACCAGGTGATCCAAGATGGTTCTGCCCAGCAGTTCTGTTGTTGATTTTATTCTTCGGTTAATTCTATCACCAGTTTCACTTCCTAAACCCAAAAATCTGTTTCAGAAGAGTCTAACTCTTCCTAAGCAGTCCCTAATGTATGTTTGACGTTAGCTACCATCCGTGGGTTTTTGTCTGCTCTTTCCGAAGGCTCGGCCTTGATGTCTAAAAACAAAATATCAAACTGCTCTTTTGAATATAAATGAAATTATAAAACTGAGGCACAGTTTTATCTCTTTAACTATGAAAATTTAAACCTCCTTCCTGGTCATTTCTGAGCAAAGTTCATTTTGTTTCCATACATTATTATTATTATTATTTACACGGTCCTATTGAAATAAGTTATAAACACTTCTTTTGAAACAAAAACAGACATCTGTTAACCCATAGATGCCTTTGCTTTTTCTCCTGCCTCTTCACTCTCATTTAAAAAAATCTAAGAGGATGAGACTATTACTTGGATTAATTCATTTTCTTTTGCCTTTCTTATGTATTGAATCTAGAAAGCACTCTGTCAGGATATCATTTACATTTTCAGCAAGAATATACAGCCTATGGAGATACAGAGTCTGTGAACATAATGCATAAGTAAATCCAGGATATGAAAACCAGCCTGCCCGTTTTATAACATTTGTGTCCTAATGATTTGTTATTAAATGTACTGAAAGTCAAGTGTTCAGGTTTCTTCTAAGAGCTGCTGAGTGAGAGGGTGAGATTTTGGCAGAACTCTAAAATAAGGCCTCTCCTATTGCATATTCCTGATTACAATACTAGTTTTTATTATTGTGTCTTTGTGGAATCTAAATATATTTTAATCATGTTAATATGCAGTACAACTTGATAAGAGAAGATTGGCATTTGCCTAAAAAAGTGATTTTGCAAAGACTTCATTGGTCTGGAAGAGAAGTTTAATAGTATATGATTTAGGTCAATGGCAGGGGGGTCTCTTTTAAGTGTAATTTTAAACAGTCCATTTTCAGGTTACCAGTGGAAGCCCAAATAATTCTCATGCTGAAATTGATAAATCTAATTTTCTATTGCTTAATTTCTGTGGTTTTATAATTTATTTTTAGGTACCAAAGGAAGAAATAAAGGAGAATTTACAAATCTGCAGGGGGTAGCCGCATCTACAAGTGGAAAGATATTAATTGCAGACAGTAACAACCAATGTGTGCAGGTATGACCCCAAATGGTACACCTTCAACTATTCTATTGATAAAATAGCTACAGTTGCATCTTTTCCTACTTAAGCTACACTGCACAAGGAAAGAAAAGGAAGCTTATAATGTGTGTATATAGACTCTTCTTCACATAGAGTTTGCATGTTCTGACCTGCAGTACATATGACACATTTTCTCCTCACTAATTTTTGTGCTAGTTCACATTCCAATAAATCTAATTTGTTTTACAGATATTTTCCAATGACGGCCAGTTCAAAAGTCGTTTTGGCATACGAGGACGCTCTCCCGGGCAGCTGCAGCGGCCCACAGGGGTAGCTGTGCATCCCAGTGGGGACATAATCATTGCAGATTATGATAATAAATGGGTTAGCATTTTTTCTTCAGATGGGAAGTTTAAGGTAAGATTAACTACCAATTGGCCACTAAACAGTAGAGAGCAGGAATAGGAAATACAAGATGAAATTATCTTTTTCTTTTTTTGAGATCCAATAAAATATTCAACAATTCTTTGTACACAAAGGCATCTTGACTTGGTTACATCTAAGTTTTATCAAGCAAGAGTAACAATGATATTGTCATAAATCTACTTACAGATATCCTAAATGTGGCTTCATTTTATAAAGCAATTAGATTGCTCAATTGCTTTTTTTTAAATATACCATCTGATGCAAAGGGAAACAGTTCCTGTTATCTCAATTCAGTGAAAAACAACAACCTTTAGAAAGGGTTATTAAGAAGCAGTTTATATTTCCCAAATTAACCTACAGCTTGTCATTTATGAAGTGCCTTCTATTTTCTCAGGCCTGTGATAGGTAATATAGGAGAAACAGAATTGTAAGACATGGTACCTACCTGTTATAGATGTACAAGCCCATTGAGGAAAAATGACTAATACACAAAAATGACAGAAGACAATTCATGTCAGCCTTTAATCAGTCATAAATTGTTCGGTACAACCTGAAAACCTAGTGTTAAAGTGTATAATATAGGAATTGGGAGGAAAAAAAAATGAGGGCTGGCTTCATGGAGAAAATGTAAATTGAGCTATGCTTTGAGGGATCCCATCAGTTGACCTGTTTGCTTTTACTCCCAACATCATCTTCTGTTTCTTCAGCAAGTCACTGAAGAGTAGAGAGCCTTTTGGGTAATAAGAGAAATCTCTCTTCTAAGGTGTCATCAAAGAATATTATCATCCAGCCCATTTTCTACATTTGTGCACAAGAAGATTATGAGACACACTGTCAAAGGTGTTTTTGAAGCCATATGCACTATGCCTTATGTATCCCCCGTCCAGCGTCCTAGAGGCTTCTGTTTCAGTTGACAACCTGAACTTTAACTCAGATAGATCAACCCGTTGGAATCCCAGCTCTGCAGCTTATTAACTGTTTGGCCTTTGGCAAATTATATAACTTCCTCGAGCCTTTACAGCCTCATCTTTCAAATTCGAATTTAAAAAACCTATCTCGGGCCTGCCCAGTGGCGCAAGTGGTTAAGTGCGTGTGCTCTGCTTCGGCAGCCTGGGGTTCGCAGGTTCGGATCCCGGGCGTGCACCGGCGCACAGCTTGTCAAGCCGGGCTGTGGCAGCGTCCCATATAAAGTAGAGGAAGATGGGCACGGATGTTAGCCCAGGGCCAGTCTTCCTCAGCAAAAACAGAGGAGGATTGGCATCAGATGTTAGCTCAGGGCTGATCTTTCTCACAAAAAAAAAAAACAACCTATCTCATAGGATTTGTAAAAGTCCCCCGCTGCTATTGTGCTGCTGTCAATTTCTCCTTTTATGTCTGTTAATAATTGCTTTCTATATTTAGGTGCTCCTATGTTGAGTGCATAGATATTAACAAGTGTTGCATTCTCTTATTGGATTGTTCCCTTGATCATCATGTAGTGCCCTTCTTTGTCTCTTGTACAGTTTTTGTTTTAAAGTCTGTTTTGTCTGATATGAGTATTGCTACCCCAGCTTTCTTTGCATTACCATTTGCTTGGAGTATCTTTTTCCATCCCTTCACTTTCAGTTTGTGCATGTCTTTAGGTCTGAAGTGTGTCTCTCATATGCAGCATATATATGGGTCTTGTTTTATCCAGTCGGCCACTCTGTGTCTTTTGAGTGGAGCGTTTAGTCCATTGACATTTAAAGTAGCTGTTGATAAGTATGTACTTACTGCCCTTTTGTTACTTTTTTCTGGGTGTTTTTGTAGTTCTTCTCAAAAGTAGTTCCTTTCTTCTCTTGCTGTCTTCCCTTGTGATTTGATGGCTTTCTTTGGTATTATATTTGGGTTCCTTTCTCTTTATTTTTTTGTGTATTTATTATAGGTTTCTCGTTTGTGATTACCATGAGGTTCCTATATACTAATCTATGTAAACAGCAATCTATATTAAGTTGATGGTCTCTTAAGTTTGACCTCTTACTAAAACCCTACAATTTCACCCCCCACACACACGTTTTATGTTTTTGATATCATATTTAACCTCTTTTGTGTGTGTATCCCTTAATCTCTTATCATGGAGACAGATGATTTTAGTACTTTTGTCTTTTGACCTTCATACTAGCTTTATAGTTGGTTGATCCAGAACCTTTACTGTATATTTGCCTTTACCAGTGATTTTTTTCTTTGATAATTTTCTTATTCCTATTTGTGGTCTTGTCTTTTCCACTTAAATAAGTCCCTTTAACATTTTTTGTAAAGCTGGTTTATTGGTGATAAACTCCTGTAGTTTTTTCTTGTCTGGGAAACTATCTCTTCTGAATGAAACCTTGCCAGGTAGGGTATTTTTGGCTGTAGGTTTTTTCCTTTCAACACTTTAAATATATAGTGCCACTCCCTTCTAGCCTGTAAGGTTGCCAATAGCCTTATGCAGTTTCTTTTGTATGTAACTTACTGTCTTTCTCTTGCGGCTTTTAGGATTCTCTCTTTATCTTTAATTCTCGACATTTTAATTATAAGGTGTCTGGGTGTGGGCCTCTTTGGGTTCATCTTGTTTGGTGCTCTCTGTGCTTCCTGTAAGTGGATGTCTGTTTTCTTCACCAGGTTAGGGAAGTTTTCCGCCATTATTTCTTCAAATAAGTTCTCTGCCCCTTTCTCTCTCTCTACTCCTTCTGGAACACCTATAACATGATGTTAGTGCACTTGATGTTGTCCCAGAGGTCCTTTAGACTATCTTTGTTCTTTTAAATTCTTTTTTCTTTTTTCTGTTCAGCTTGGGTGATTTCCTCTACTCTTTCATCCAGGTCACTGATCCATTCTTCTATGTAATCTACTCTGCTGTTGATTCCCTTTAGTGAACTTTTCATTTCCATTATTGTGTTCTTCAGTTCTGATTGGTTCTTTTTTATATTTTCTAATTCTTTGTTGAAGTTCTCACTGTGTTCATCTATTCTTCTCCCAAGATTAGTGAGCATCCTTATGACTATTAGTTTGTACTCTTTATCAGGTAGATTACTTATCTCTGTTTCATTTAGTTCTTCTGGAGATTTGTCCTGTTCCCTTATTTGGAAGATATTCCTTTGCCTCCTCATTTTGCCTACTTCTCTGTGCTTATGTCTATGTATTAGGTAGATCAGCTATGTTTCCCGGTCTTGGAAATGTGGCTTTATGTGAGAGATGCCTTATAGCGCCCAGCAATGTGCTTCCCTCTCATCACCTGTTCCAAATATTCCAGGAGTGTCTCATATGTGGGCTACGTATGCTCTTCTGTTGTGGCAGGGTTACTGTTGCTGCGGGCGCATGGGTAGGCTAGGCTGGCCCCAGGGCCGGCTGGTTGTAAGGCTCAGTAGTGTGCAGCTGCTGTGGTTGCTTTATTGGGCAGGGTAAGCCCCAGCAGGGCTGGCTGCAAGGTCTAATATCACACAACTACTGCTGTTTTACTGTTGAGCCAGTCAAACCCCCAGTGTGGCTGGTTGCTAGGCTCAGGGGCTCACAATTGCTGTAGGCCTCTAATGCACTTCCCTGCAGCATGCAACTGTTGTTGGCATTCTCAGGAGTGCAGATGCTTGGGGCCGGCTCCAGACATGGCAGCACACAATTGTTTCAGGCATTGGAATGCACGGCGGATCCCCTGTGTGGCTGTTCGAGATGGCCAGTGGCACAAGTCTGCTACAGCCAACACGCCCCACTGCCCACAGGCCCACGCACCCTATCAGCGCAGGCCTGCCCTGTGCACACACCCCGCTGAGGCGAGGTGGACCCACCCCACTCCCCCCACTGCAGAGGTCCCACACACCCCGGCTACAGGGGCCCCACACACCCCCATCTATAGGGACCCATAAGTTCACTGCAGCCTTGCTAGTGGGCAGAGCCAGTCCCTCAGGTGGGCTACCTGCCCTGGCTGCGCTCAATTGAATCTGTGCTCTAGTGGGTGGGGCAAACCCCTGCCCTAACAAGCTAGGGGAAGGAATCCGATAACTCTGCCAGTGTCCGTGTCAGCACGACTGAACTAGGTCACAATAATGGCTGCCGCCAGTATCTCAGTCCCTGGAGACATGGGCCCAGCCTCTTCCTGCCTCTCTGAGATGTGCTCAGACCTTAATAAGTGAGTCTCTTTTAGTAATGGAATATGCACTTTTCTTGCTTTTTTGTGTTGATTACCGGAACTGGTGAATCTGTGCGTGGGCCCTTTGAGAGTAGGTTTTTCTTCAGCTGAAGTTTGATAGTTTTTCTGGGAGTACTCCACATTGGCTTTCAAAGCCAGATATTATGGGATCTTATCTGGGTTGTGCTGAATCTAAAGGCTGGGATGCCTATTGTAGATCCCCTGCTCAGATCCGCCACTCCTCTGGGAAAAGCTTTGTGCCTTTGAGATTGCTCCCAGCTGTGAAGCGCTGTGGCTAGGATGTGGGTTTTTCCTCAGTGGAGGTATATTTCCGCCTCTTCTACCCCTGTCAGTGTTGTCCCTTGTTGTGAGGGTTCTTTCTATCCAGTTTCCAGATCCCTCTCAGAGGAAATTGTTCCACAGGTAGTTGTAGATTTGTTGTGTCCATGGGAGAAGGTGAGTTCAGAGTCCTCCTACACTGCCATCTTCCCATAATCCCTCACAGAATTTGGGTAAGGATTAAATGAGATTTTATTTCTGGATTTTATATGTGCCTCATATGAAATAGGCATCTAAGAAATGTTTTTTTCCAGTGCCTCTAGTAACCTTGTCCAAAAATGAAGTCTGGTCGGCTGTGATTTGGGCTTCATGCCTCATGTCGGCTTCTGGTGGTCATCCTTTCCTTGTCTAAATGTTCAGAGATGATGCTCTTCATAATCCATTCTGGAATCCTGACGATCACAAGAAGTTCACTCAGTCTCTTATTGGAGGAATTTATATTTTCCTGTTTAAAGTTATTGGATCACTACAGTCACCTTATCATTTTTATTAAAACAAGGTACTTACATAATTATTAACCCTCGGATTGGAGCCTCTGTCTTGTGTGGGGCAGCATCTAGAAGGATAAAAGGCAGTCATTTTTAAATATTTATTTATTTTGTGTGTGTGTGTGTGTGTGTGTGTGTGTGTATGTGCGCGAGGAAGATCAGCCCTGAGCTAACATCCATGCCAATCTTCCTCTTTTTGCTGAGGGAAGACTGGCTCTCAGCTAACATCCGTGCCGATCTTCCTCCACTTTATATGGGACACCGCCACAGCATGGCCTGACAAGCGGTCGTGTCGGTGCGTGCCAGGATCTGAACCCGGGCCGCCAGCAGCGGAGCACGCGCACTTAACCACTACGCCACGGGCCCGGCCCCAAGGCAGTCATTTTTAATTCCACCATATTGCATACAATTCTTCAGTTGCCCTTCATTTTTTTGTTCTGCTAGAAATTTGATGACTCCGTATGATGGCTGTGTACACAGAAAGGTCTCTTGCCTTTCTGTATGTCTAAGTTCCTCCCCTTCTTTTGTGTTTTCATAATGGTATTTGTGGTAAGACATACCCAAATATGACGACTTTAACATCAGTAGAATGAAAATTGTTCAGCGACCTTTTGAAAATATCTGTTTGGAGACAACCCATTTGTTTCTGTTTCATACTGTAGCAAAACCATGACCTGCCTTTTTAAATTCAGGATCTAATACTAAAATTGGTATTGAAATAGGAGTTTCATATCTAATGTATTGAAATATTTTATATCTAATACATTAAAACATATTGAAATAGAAGTTTTATATCTAAGAGAGAAGGGTTTCCTGAATTAGGCATTTTTCATTCAGTGGTTCAATATTCTATATGTAATAGACACTCTTCCTGGAAGACTGACTTCTCATAGTTGGAATACTGTGTGTAATCATTGGAATAGACACTAAAGAACATTCATGCCCCCTAGAAGATGTGGTATAGTTTCAACATACCCTTTTCTTAAGCAATAGGTATTGATCAAATCCCAAAGGGTAAAAGGATAGCCAGTGAAAGCAATGGGAGTTCATCCAAGGCTGATGTCCATGACCAGATATTGAGAGATACTTATTTTCTTCCTTGGCGGGATTCAGTAAAATTAAATGGGTGCTCAGAAAGACAAACCTTTAACACAAATGTGGGTTCTTTGTATTTATTCCTAATAGTTCTAGGGATATAACATCTTAACTCCTTCTCTTTCTTCTATTCACCAGCTTCTTAGTCCTAATTTTCATTCCTCTCTGTCGCTATTTTTTTCCTTTCTATCTTTTTTCCTAACATATCTTCTGGCCTATCTGGGAACCTTTTGTGACCCCAGAACAGATACAGAGGCCCCTGGCCACCATATTCTAAAATATCCCATCTCTTCCCTCTTCAATTTAAGGACCAATTTGTTGAGTTAAATAATTTCATTTAACTGTTCCAAAGCCGGGGTCTAAAATATCTTTGCTTACTATTCTGTGTAAGATGGGGGACACATTGTCAAGCCAAATGCAGTAATTCTTATTTCACTTGGTACCATCTAGTGCAGCTAAACTGGGAGTGATGAAGGGAAGTGGAAGGAAAAGAGGTTTGGGTTCAACATTTAAGTTTTTTTTTTTAGACCTGCACTAGTTCTCACTCCATGATAGAATGGCAGTAATCCTTTATTTTCTGTTTTTATTCTACATAATTATCATCCACTTGGTATGATATGGTTGAGTCATTCTAAGTAGCAACTAGTGTTCATATTGTTAGGTAGTAATAATATTCTTGTTTTAATTATCAGAGTCTCCTCTCTTCCTTTTGATCTCTACTGACATATCTTCCATTCAGACATGAAAGAAAGTGTACAATTTCTTAGCCAGCTATTATGTCATAGTCTTTGATCTTTGGGCTAGATTGCAGACTCAGAATCAAATTTATACAACAGATTCCCTTGAAAGAATGCCATTGTTTCCTTCCTAATTAAATGTGTCTCTTTGTTCTAAAGAGATCACATCTGAATCTCAGTCATTTATTAACTTACAAGATTAAAAGATCATACAAAGTCTGAAGCCTCAGTATGGGAAAGTCCTCATCCCTCTCTCCATACTGTCTACACATATCTTCATGTTTCTGTTGGGAAAGAAGATAATCCTATGGGTCCAGTATGATGTTAGCTGAATAGGATGAGGAGAAGTAGATTGTGCACCATATGCACCGCTTGGCACTTTTATCCTTCAGAATCTGCACGACTCAGGAGGTAAATACTATAGCTGCCATTTTACAGATGAGAGCACTGAGGTTCAAACTGGTGAAAGAAAGAAGAAATTTTGCTCTGAAATTTTGATACTGGGTGACTGGACGAACTGGGGTATTATAAAAGGAATTAGGAGATCCGGAGGTGCTAGTCTGGGCTTCCTTTTTTTTAAATGGTGGAAATGAAGAAGATAAATTTGATTTGACACTGGTTGAGTTTAAGGTGATAACTTGTAAAATAGGCCAAGACTAAAGATATGGATTTGAGAGTCTTACGTATAGAGGTGAAAGTTGATGCCAAAGCATAAATGAGATCTTAGAAGAAGTGTATAGAGTTGCACTGTCTGATATGCTAGCCACTAGCCACATATGGATACTGAGTTCTTGAAATGGGACTGGTCTGAACTGAGGTGTGCTATGTGTGTGAAATACACACTGGATTTTAAAGCCTTAGTCAAAAAAAAAAAAAGAATGTAAACTATTTCATTAATAATTTTAATATTGATTACATGTTGAAATGATAACTTTTGGATATATTAGGTTAAATAAAATATATAATTAAAAATAATTGTTCCTAGTTCTTTTTATTTTTTGTATGTGGCCACTAGAAAATTTTAAATTACATATGTGGCTCGCATTATATTTCTTATATCAGACAGCTCTAATATAAAGAGAAAATAAGAGGACTAAAACAGAATCTATGGGAATGTAACTTTTTTGGAGTTTAAATTTTTAATTTAAAAAGTAATACATGCAAACAGATTTTTAAAAATAAACCTACAGAGGAGTATAAAATGCAAAGTAAGAATTTCTCCTACCAGCATTAATATCCCTGGTTTCTTACTTTCTCTTGCAGGAATATGTATACATATATAAACACATTTAATACAAGTGCGCTCAGACTGTACTCCCTGTTCTGTACCTTCCTTTGTTCAGTGGTATATCTGAGAGAGCGTTCATAAAAACACACAGAGATCTACTTCGCTCTGACATCATTAGCCTGGGTGCCTGGGAGAACTGTGGTTTTCGCCAGCCTGCTCGCTTACCAGGCACTCTTTCCAGCTGTTCCCTCACCTCAGATGCTCTTTCTCGTTCCTTGTCTATAGTGACTTGTCTCACTAAGTTATTGTTCCACATGGCTTCTGAGATAACCTATTTGAATTCTCCCAAATCTACCAAATCGAACACTCAGTACCAGGCACTTCGAAAGGGCACAGTAGAGGGGCCGGCCCCATGGCCGAGTGGTTAAAGGTCTCAGCGCTCCGCTTCGGCGGCCCGGTTCCAATCCCGGGCGTGGACCTACTCCACTCATCAGCCATGCTGTGGAGGCATCCCACATGCAAAATAGAGGAAGATTGGCATGGACGTTAGCTCAGGGCTAATCTTCCTCAAGCAAAAAAGAAGAAGCTTGCCAACGAATGTTAGCTCAGGGCCAATCTTCGTCACCAAAAAAAAAAGGTGGGGGGCACAGTAGACATGTTTGTCTCTGCAATGCAGAAAAATGAATAAGATTTAAAATACATATGGTATATGTTTGATAGAAGTCTAATGCTTTTCTCCCATTTTAAAATACTGAAAACTAGAACCATTTATTCATCATGATTACCCTAAATAATGATAAACTTTTTAAATTAATATAATCAACAAATACTTGTTGAGTACCCATTAGGCAGCAAGAAGTATGCTAGGACTGAGTACACAGTGCTGGATGAAACAGACATGACTCCTGCCCGTGTGGATATATTTCCACGTGGATTTTGTGGAATTTATATATCCCAATTCCAATATTAATTGGGATATATAATAATGACAGTGACTGCTTCCCTTTAATGACTACTTAATATCTACTATACTCTACACTAAGCACTTTACCTACATTATTTTACTTAGTACCTATTCCAAAAATACCATTGGAAGTTATTGAAGTCATTTTTTTCACATTTTTTGAATATATGGAATCTGAAGCTTAAGGAAATTAAATCCATTTGTGCTATACCAGATGTTTCCACAGCAAGTGACAGGTGCAGGACAGTCTTTCTACTCCTAATCCAGTGATGTTTTGCTATATCACACTGCCCCTTTAGAAGGGAACTGTCACCCCAGTTAAGAGGATTCTAGAACATTTTTGGTGGTGATCCCTTTAAAAAATAAGAATTTCATATCAATATGAGTAGCAGATAATGAATGTGACAGATAGTTTTCCAAGACACAAGATCATTGTGACATATGAGTAGCTATGCACCTGTATTTGAACTTTAAAGTAAATGTTTACTAAAACAAATGTGTATCTTCATGTTCTGTAGTGTTTTAAACTTCACTTTCTGTACTTGTTTCTAACAGACAAAAATTGGATCGGGAAAGTTGATGGGGCCCAAAGGAGTTTCTGTGGACCGCAATGGGCACATCATTGTGGTGGATAACAAGGCGTGCTGCGTGTTTATCTTCCAGCCAAATGGGAAAATAGTCACCAGGTTTGGTAGCCGAGGAAATGGGGACAGGCAGTTTGCAGGTACACTCGATGGTAATATGTAAACCCCCTTTTTTATGCTTCTTCTGCTCACATTTGCATGATGTTGGAGCATGTTGAAGACACCTCATCCCCAGTGTGTTTGCTGGCTTTTGGAAAGATACTGGGGATGAAATCTAAGCGAAAGCATGGTTAGATGCTTCTCAGTTACTCCACCCGCAGTAAGTTGAACTGCAATCCACGTGTGGTTTTTATTGGTGGCAGTTTACAACTCAGAAGTCTAATCTTCAAATATTAATAGTACATAAAATAGAAATTTTAAAATAAAATATTTTTTGATGTTTGAGGAACAATGGAGTAACTCCTGTTTCCATCTAGCTGTAGCTTTATTTAAAGAGCTTCTGAATAAGAATTTTTTTCACCTTTTTAGGTGATTATAAGAGAGCAGGAGTTTAGAATATTTGCTGAGTACGGGAAGGGCAGTCTCTCTCACTTCCCTTTTTGGCTTACCACTTTGCAATCACCAGCTTACTTATTTTTCATATCTGCAAGAAGAGGCTGAAAAAAGTTTTTTAAATTTTCTTTTGGAAAGGATGCTTTTGGCATTTAACATTACTGCATAATTTTTCTTTGTGCTTTGTCTCCAGTTCTGCCAGGGTCTGAATGTCACCCAAAATTATAAAGCGTGGGTTTCCGCTCTGCTTTTTAAATAGGATTACATACTGGAGTCTTTTTCCCAGTGCGAAGAGTTACCATGTCTTTCCTCACTGGGAGCTGAGGGCCCTAAAATGACCAACACGTACTCAGGGAAGCTGGTAGATGTGACTTTCAGATGGTGGTACGGAGAATGAATTCTGATGCTTCTTGCTCATTCCACTTCATTAGGGCTGCTGATAACGTGATCTGGAAAATGTCAGAGTAGACAGTTACAAGTGTAGAAATGATACAGGATCCATGTTATCTGGACCCAGAGGTCTGGCTGAATTATCTTTCAAGGACTGAGCCTACAATTCTTCGTTCTTTCTTAAATAACTAGGTTACTATGTTAAGCTTTGTAACTGCTGTGTTGTTGTAATTATTTTTGTTGTTATGGTCATCACGTATTTTTTTTCCATCTTTATTGCAGGTCCCCATTTTGCAGCTGTAAATAGCAATAATGAGATCATTGTTACAGATTTCCATAATCATTCTGTCAAGGTACTATAAACACATCAATTGTTGTTAACTTTTCACTGCTTTTATTGAGAAATCAGTCTGGGAGAAAATAACATGATACTCACATATACACAGGACCTAAAGGAATTAACCTAAAAGAATAGATTTTGCTTCTCCTTAAAGATGCAGGTTTTAATTTAGACATACAGACTTTGGAGATTCAGAAAATTGAACAAAATATAGGGGCACTAAGTTTCATAATTTGAAACTGGTGTAAATGGAGATGACCTGAAAATTAAATTTGAGAAAGCAATTGCTTGAACTTAGAGAGGCAGAACTTTCTGAAGGTTAATATTTTGTGACTATTCAATAAATTAAAACAAGATCATTTTTTCAATTTTCTGCATCATAAGGCCTTTCAAACAAAATTAGATATTAGAACTTTGCTACAGCAACAGATTTTGGGAGGGAAATAGCCCCAGCATACATTCGTATAGCATAGTTCATATTTTTTAGAATGCTTTCACACACTTGATGTTCCTTAGAAAGCAATGCCCATCCCCTTCTCCCAAATAGTATAATGCATCTTTCTCACTGGGTATAGGGGAAAGAAAGATATGACCTTTATTATGAGCAAATCAGGAAATAATAAAGTGGTTCAAAACAAATTTCTCACCTACTAAGACGAGAAAATGTTTGGTAACATTCTAGACCACGCTTCTCAAGGTGAGATGTGTGTCCCACTGAAGGTATGCCTGGTGGTCATGGGCAGGGCACCGGCAGAGATTTTTATTTTAAGAGTTATGTATTTGTTTTTACGATTGCCTTCTGTTTACATCAAATGATACTAGTTTGTACTTATAGAAGTGATACAAAGTTTTCCTTGTAAGTAAATTTATTGAAATTTTTTAAAGTGAGGCATTTCAAAGGAAGGATAAGGAAACAGCGTAGGTTTTATGCCAATAACTAAAGTTTGCACTTAGAGACAACCACTGAGGAACCAAAATTAAAAACGATTTGTCAGTGTTGATAATGGGAATAGCTAGATAGGGATAGGATTTTAACACCCAAAGGTGCTCTCTTTTGTCTCCTCACTGCTTCATTTCCCCAGCTTGTCCTCGAAGATATCTTTAACCTGAGTAAATGCAAAGGTCTTGAGCTTTTTTGATGGGTACCAAGTCCCTATTTAAAGAGTAGAGCACAATGGGCTGTGGCGATGGGGCGAGATGGCAGAAAAGGATGCCCACTGTTACTTACTTCTAAGGCTCTTCCTGCAATGTTGTCTCTCTAGAGTTGCTTCCAGAGTGGTAGAGCTCCGTCTCCACTCCTCCGACCTCCCTCAGTGCCCATAAGCTGCATCCTCTCTCTCTCTACAGGAGGTGTCTTGGTAAAAGGAAGAGGACAGTGGGAAAAGTCTATGGAGGAGGAGGAGGGAAACAGAGCAAAGAGGCAGCAGGGACTGGGCTCTTGACCAGCCTCCCAGGGGGCTCTAACAGTCCTGTCTAATGAGCATAACTATAAAAGGATAACACAGGCTGTTATCACATTTCCTACCCTTCAGTCACTTTATAGAGGAATCATTCACTTAACTACGGGGCATTCAACAAGAAGAAAACCCATAGAAATCCTAACGGTGCAGAGGCCAGCAAAGCCTGCCATAGATGCTGCCCACCGCCCACCTAGAAGATGGTAACATTAATCAAGTTGCTCTTTTCTACTAAGCGCAACTGTGGCCTCAGAGCCTTTCCTGTCCCAGTGCTCCAGGCAGCCTCTAAGGAATCAACTGGCATTGGTATGTGGGATGACTCCTATTTACGAGCCCTGCTGACACTGTAGAAGGAAATAAAACATATGTAAGTAACTAAAATGCGAGGCAGATAGCAATAAATGATTTCTTAAAAATAGGTACATCTACAATTCTACAAGTATCCAGAAAAAAAGAGAAGATTTCCTTAGCTAAGACTATCAGGGAAGTCTTCCAAGTGGAGGTGGTATTTGAGGTGAGCAGAATTTTGAAATCAGAAAAGGATTATCATCAAAGTTATAAAAACTTGTTATAAAAAGCAAAGCTGTAAAAACAACTTCAGCTCATACTTCTGCCTCTTAATATGTTTTCATCTGAATAATTTATAAGCAATTAAATGACATTTTAGATGGGAAAAATAGAGAATATGAGAAATTTATAATTATTAAGATTCTGAAAACACTTCGAGTTTTCAGTACAGTACAGGAAAATTTAAACTCAATTTTCCTCTTATTTAAGAAAAGCAGTCATTTTGTTTTTCCTCTTCTCTTTGATAGCTGTTGCCATATAGCTTTTATGGAATAGTTGGGCTTTTGTTTCCTGTGTAACACAGGGCAGTTAGCAAGAGTTGTGGATTCAGGTCATTTCTCTATTGGTAAATGTAAAAACTGTGCCTGTAGGTCAGGGCTAATAAGTGGTCTAGTTAGTTCTTTAGCTACCTTCAGTATATATTTTCTTTTCATTGCAAAACAAGTAAGACTTAATTTGGCATTGTCCATTATTCCAAAATGGAGCAGAAGCACTTAAGTCATTTGGATTATGCCAAGGAAAACAGTGACTCAGAGAGAGAAATACAAACAAACAAGAAGATTATTTGCACGACTTAATAAGGGAGAGATCAGAGAATAATCAGTTGTGTCCTCACCAGCATACGAACACTCCCTTTGGTCTTTAAAACTAGAATGTTTTGTGTGAAAGGAGATAAAAAGAGTCAGGAAAGATTTTTAAAACATGACGTCTTATAAAAGCTGCTTCTTGTCCCTGTCCTTTCCAAAGAACCAGAGGTAGGTTGCTTTCTTGGCAAGTATGTAATTAATTCAAGAAGTGGTCATGACTCTTATGTCTTAAAGTAAGTTTAGCCTATAGAGATGGAAGTGTCTCATTTTCCCAATGTACATAACTAAAAGAAGCAGAGTCATTTTAATCTTTCATGATCACAGAGATGGTCTAAAAGGTCCTGAGATCATCCTCAAATTAAATCTGTGCTCAGATACAATGAACTCTCTCAGGTCTGCATTTTAGGAACTCTTACTCTCATGGTGCCTTGCATGGAATACTTTTTGATTTGTTAATGAGTATTTCTACATGTGTAGGCTGGATGACAATGGAAGCTTCAAATAATATCCTGGAGAACCATTTCAGAACCATTAAGTATCATCTGAATCATCAAGATAAAATTATGCTTACCGTAGTCTTACCGTTAAACACGTTAAAATTTTAATTCGTTCAAAATTAGCAATCTGTATTTGATACATATACAGTAACACTTTATTAATAAGAATATTTAATTGACCACAACAACTCATTGCTTGACTACATCAGATATTAGAGAATATGCTTAAGAGTTCTGTTTGGCCCCCCACTTCTGTCAGCCTCCCTTCTCTCAGTAGGCTCTATTTATGAAAGTGTTAGGATCGTATAAACTCTCTAACTGAAATATATTCTGAAAAAATATATATAAAAAAGTCCTTTTCTTTTTCCTCACTCACTGCCATCACACACACACACACACACACACGCACGCACGCACACACGCTCACCTGCACACACACAATGACAATGAATTTCCCCTGTTATAAGTGTGAAGTCCAGCCTACTCTTTCTTGTTATGTTGACTTAGTAAAATGGTAATAAATGCTGAGCATCTGGCCCAACAAAAGCTCCTACTTTCTGATCCAACCTTGACTCATCATCCATCCTGTTAAAAACATAATGTCCATTCTTGAAATTAGCTATTTATTTAAAGGCAGAAAGAATAATAGTGTTGAAAATTATAGCTCTACTTACTCATACTACCTTGTATATATTTTATAATTTATAACAAAAGTATTTTTCACATAAGTATTTAATAACCAGATATAAGCTAGAAAAAAGAAGTGATTTAACAAATGCTAAATCAGATTTATACAGTAAATTGGGTAATCACGAGTGATAAGGGGGTCTAGTTTATAGATTTTTTTTACTTTGTTTAGAATGTCTTAAATTATAGGTCTTGTTATAAATAACCTGCTCAGATAGATATTTTTAAAATCTATAATGTTTGCTCAACTATTTTAATTTAAGATAAAATAATTTTAAAATATTTCATACAGGTGTTTAATCAGGAAGGAGAATTCATATTGAAGTTTGGATCAAATGGAGAAGGAAATGGGCAGTTTAATGCTCCAACGGGTGTGGCAGTGGATTCAAATGGGAACATCATTGTAGCAGACTGGGGAAACAGCAGGATCCAGGTAGATTAAAAATGCTGATTTATTTGTTTAGTGTGATTGGTATTTGTTAAAAGTGAAGAATTGGCTGTCCCCCAACGTGGAATGTTTTCCATTTTTCATTGGTTAGGTAATAAGACCACAGATAATCTTACTAGAAGCACTAAACTAAGGAAGGGGGAGTAGAAAAAATATATTGGACTGAATGAAAATGCAAATATACCCTATCAAAATTTGTGGAATGCAGCTAAAACAGTGCTAGGAGATTTTTTTCGCCAGCTATACTGAGATATAATTGACATATAACACTGTGTAAGTTTGAGGTGTACAGAGTGTTAATTTGGTACACTTATATATTGCAAAATGATTACCACTATAGTATTAGCTAACACCTCCATATCATACATAACTACCATTTGTTTTTTGTGGTGAGAACATTTAGTTCTGCTGTGTTAGCAACTTTCAAGTACATAATACAGTATTGTTAACTATAATCAATACAGTATTGTTAACTATAATCACCATGCTCTGCATTGGATCCCCAGGTCTTACTCATCTTCTAACTGGACGTTTGTACCCTTTGACCAACCTTTCTATATTTCCCCCACCCCCTATTCCCTGATAACCACTGTTCTACCTGCAACGGAAATTAATAGTACTAAATGCTTGCATTAGAAAAGAAGAAAAGTCTCAAATCAATAATCTAAGCTCCCACCTCAAGAAGCTAGAAAGAGAGGAGCAAAACAAACTGAAAGTGACCAGAAGGAAGGAAATAGTGAAGATAGTATCAGAAATCAGTGAAATTCAAGACAGAAAAATAGAGAAAATCAATGAAACAGAAGTTGATTCTTTGAAAAGATCAATAAAATTGACAAACCTCTAGCAAGACAATGAAAAAGAGAAAAGACACAAAATTCTAGTTTTATTACAGACCCTGCAGGCATCAAAAGGATAATAAGGAGATTCTATGGACAGTTGGACAACTTAGATGAAATGGACCAATTCCTCAAAAAGTGCAAACTCCACAACTCACCCAATATAAATAAATAATTTGAATATCCCTATAACTATTAAGGAAATTTAGTTTATAATTTTGAAACTCCCCAAAAAGAAATCTCTAGACTCCTATGGTTTCATTGGAGAATTCTACCAAATGTTTAAAGAATTAGCAGTTCTACGTAATTTTTTCCAGAAAATAAAAGACAAGGGAACCCTTCACAATTCACTTGCCAACTCAGCTTCTGATGCCCTACTACCAAAACCAGACTAAGACAGTACAAAAAAGAAAACTACAGGCCATAATTTCATGAATATAGATGCAAAAATACTTAACAAAATATTTGCAAATAGAATTCAGCAATATATAAAAATCCTTCCATGACCAAGTGGGGTTTATTCTATCGATGCAAGGCTGATTCAGTATTCAAAAAACAATCAATGTAATCCACCATATTAAAGGCTAAAGAATAAAAATCATATGATTGTATCAATTGATGCAGAAAAAGCATTTGACAAAATTCAATACTAATTCATGATAAAAAATCTCGGAAAATTAGGAATATACAAGAACTTTCTCAATTTGATAAAGAACATCTACGAAAACCTACAGATAGCATCATACTTAATGGTGAAAGACTGAAGGCTTCTCTAAGATCAGGAACAAGGCAAGGATGTCTGCTCTCACCATTCTTATTCAACATAGTAATGGAAGTTCTACAAGCACGAAAAGGAAATAAGAAGCTTACAAATTAGAAAGGAAGAATAAAAACTTTCTCTATTTGCAGATGACGTGATTGTTTACATAGAAAATTGCAAGGAATCTACAGATTCCTAGAACTGATAAGCAAGTTCAGCAAGGTCACAGGATAGAAGATCAACATAAAAAAATCAATTGTATTTCTATATAATAGCAACAAACACGTGGAAGCCAAAATTAAAAATACAATACCACTTACAATTGCTGAAAAAAATGAAATATTTAGATATACTGACAAAGCATGTCTAGTATCTATATGCTAAAAACTATAAAAATGCTAGTGAAAGAAATAAAAGAAGATCTAAATAAATGGAAAGACATACTGTGTTCATGGATTGCAAGACTCAACAAAAATGTCACTTCTTCCCAAATTGATATACAGGCTTAAGACAAAATCCAGGCAGGAATTTTTGTAGATATAGACAAGATTATTTTAAAATTTGTGTGGAAAGGCAAAGGGACTGAAGTAGCTAAAACAATTTTGAAAAATAAGAATAAAGTGAGAGGAATCACTCTGCCTGATTTCATGACCTATCATATAACTGTTTTATAGCTACAGGAATCAAGACTGTGTGATATTAGTGGAGGGATAGACACATAGATCAATGGAACAGAATAGAGAATCCAGAACAGAATAGAGAATCCAGCCCCTACACATGTGCAGCCAACTGATTTTTGACAAAGGTCCAAAAGCAATTCAATGGAGGAATAATAGCCTTTCAACAAACGATGCTGGAGCAATTAAGATATCCATAGAGGAAAAAAATGAACCTCACCTTATGTAAAAAATTAACTCAAAATAGATCACAGATTTAAATGAGAAATGTAAAACTATAAAACTTTTAGACAATATTTTAGAAGATAAACTTTTAGAAAGTTTTAAGAGAAATCTTTGGGACCTAGGGCCTGGTGAAGAGTTTTTAGACATGATACCAAAAGTACAATCCATAAAAGAAAAAAATCCATAAATTGGACTTCATCAAAATTAAAAACTTTTCTTCTATGAAAGACTCTGTTAAGAAGATAAAAAGATAAGCAAACGGGGCCAGCCTGGTGGCATAGTGGTTAAGTACATGAGCTCCGCTTCCGTGGCCTGGGGTTCGCAGGTTTGGATCCCGGGCGTGGACCTACACACTGCTCATCAAGCCATGCTGTGGCAGCATCCTACAAACAAAATAGGGGAAGATTGGCACAGATGTTAGCTCAGCGACAATCTTCCTCAAGCAAAAAGAGGAAGATTGGCAACAGATGTTAGCTCAGGGCCAATCTTCCTCACCAAAAAAAGATAAGCAACAGAATGGGAGAAAACATTTACAAACCACATATCTGACAAAGGACTTGAACCTAGAATATATAGACTTTCAGACCCAATGGTAAAATAACCAAACAATCCAATTAGAAAATGGGCAAAAAACACGAAGAGCAATTTCACTGAAGTGGATATACACATGGAAAGATGTGTCATATCAGTAGACATTAGGGAAGTGCCAGTTAAGATCATTGCTACACAGTTATTACAGTAGCTAAAATTAAAAATATTGATAATGCAAAATGCTAGTGAGCATGCAGAAAAACTGGATCTCTCATACATTGCTAGTGGGAATGTAAAATGACAGCCAGCCTTGAAAATAGTTTGGCAGTTTCTTAAAAAACTAAACATACACTTACCATACAACCCAGCAATTGCACTCCTGGCCGTTTGTTCCAGAGAAATAAGAACTTATATCCACACAAAAACCTGTACATTTTTGTTCATAGAAACTTACTTATGATAGCCAAAAACTGAAAATAACCAAGATGTCCTTCAATAGGTTAATGGCTAAGCAAACTGTGGTATATCCATACTCTGGAATCCTCAGCAGTAAAAAGGAACAGACTAATTATACACTCAACAACTTAGATGCATCTCAAAGGCATCATGCTGAGTGAACAAAGCCACTTCAAAGGTCACATACTGTATGATTCCATTTATGTAACATTCTTGAAATGACAAAATTATAGAAAAGGAAAACAAATTAGTGGTTGGCAAGAGTTAAAGATGGAGGGGAAAGGGACATGAATGTGACTATAAAGAGGCAGCATGAGGAGGACTTTTTGTGATAATGGAATAGTTCTGTGTGCTGATTGTGGTGGTGGTTACATGAATCTACACTTGTGATAACATGACATACAACTATACACACATGTCCCAATGTCTGTTTGCTGGGTTTTGTATTGTACTATAATTAGAGAAGATGTAACCATTGGGGAAACTGGGTGAAGGGTACACAGGATCTTTCTGTACTATCTTTGCAACTTCCTCTGGATCTATAATTATTTCAAAATAAAAAGTTAACAAAAACAAATTTAAAAGAATAATAATGAATTTAAATGTGTTTTCATGGTATAGGAATAATGGTATCATGAATGGCATTTGGCATTTTGATTGGGTATAAAAAATAATAAAACTGGTTACATTCTAGGAAAAATAAAAATTAAAACATTATTCTGAGACAAGATCTGTAGTCTTTGCTATACTGCCAAGGGGGCCATGACACACATAAAAGTTTGATTTTTCTCTAAATTAAGAAGAAAGCTTTTAAATCCTCAAATTAAAGAAAGACTATTCTTTTTTCCCATTTCTCTGTGTAGACACCTGCATGGATCTAACATGCATTTACGGACAGGGCTATTCATCCTTGCCGATGTGGCCCTGTGCAGTGCATCTGACAACCCAGAGTGCACTGGTTAAATCTATATTCAGATGTCTCTGAGTACAGCAGCGGTCAGCAGTTTGAATCTGACATAGGTGTCTGCTTCCTAGAAAAAGAATTGAGACCGTAAATGTAACACTAAATGCTTTTATTTCTCCAATATATTCATCTTGCTTAATTATCCCAATGGAGATCTACGTTTGACAGAGGAATTCTATATCTGCTGAGAAGCCGGAAGCCAGACAGAGAACTAAGTTCACAAACGAGTTCCGTATAGGACCACAGATACTAAGCTGTTGTATTGTGGCTCTCGTAGCACCTGCCTGTTACAATGCCCTTTAAAACACCCTATGGGCCAAACAGAATGGTCAAAAGAAACCAGCCTAGGCCTGGTGAAGGAGAAGTGTTTCTTTTGTCTCGTCATATAGCACAAGCTTACAGACCAAAAGAAGACCACTTCATAGCCAAGTGTACATGTTGAACCATTGACTTTTTTTTTTTTTTTTTTTTGTGGGAAAGATCAGCCCTGAGCTAACATCCATGCTAATCCTCCCGTTTTTGCTGAGGAAGACCGGCTCTGAGCTAACATCTATTGCCAATCCTCCTCCTTTTTTTTCCTCCCCAAAGCCCCAGTAGATAGTTGTATGTCATAGTTGCACATCCTGCTAGTTGCTGTATGTGGGACGCGGCCTCAGCATGGCCGGAGAAGCGGTGCGTCAGTGCGCGCCCGGGATACAAACCCAGGCCGCCAGCAGCGGAGTGCGCACACTTAACCGCTAAGCCACGGGGCCAGCCCACCCTTGACTTCTTATAACTCGCTCTTTTCTGAAAAGGAAAAAAAAAATCTGTTTTCCCATTGCATGTTAATAACTCAGGATCTTCTTCTGTGGTCTACTTGCTGATTGTTTTCTCTTATGTTTGGGGATAAAAGAGCGATGTGAGACTGGAAGGGGAAAAAGTGAAAGCTTAGAGTGAGAAATGAGGGTCGTTCATTTTTCAAGCACCATCGGGCCATTCTCATCAAATATGACCACTGTATGAATATATGTGAGATCTGGCGGCCAGTGGCATGTTCTATGTCAGTGACTATGGGGCATAGAGAATGGGAGGAGAAAAAGCAAGGTAGGTGGAGGGATTGTATATGTGATAGAGACCTAAACAAACCTTTGGGGTTACACACCTGCTTTTATATTAAAAACATAAGCATCGAGGATTTTAGAACTCATATTCTGTCATGTTACTCTAACTTTTTCTATAACACTCTGACTTGATTTTTTTACAGGTTTTTGATGGAAGTGGTTCATTTTTGTCCTACATTAACACATCTGCTGACCCACTCTATGGCCCCCAAGGCCTGGCCCTCACTTCAGACGGCCACGTCGTGGTTGCAGACTCTGGAAACCACTGTTTCAAGGTCTATCGGTACTTACAGTAACGGTGGCCAGCTGGAGACCCCTTACAAAGGTCTTGCACTATAAACTGGAATGGATTTCTCAACGCAGGACCAGGTTATACTAGACATTTCATGCTAGAAGGAATCATTGGTGAACTTTCCAAGGTTATTTCTGAATGTAACAATTTCCTTAAAAACTGCATATCCGATTTCTGTAATTCACCTTTAGGGTTTAAAAAAAGAAATCTCTTCTACTGAATCTATAAAAAACTGCAAAGTTTTACACCTGTGAACTATGGCATATAGGACAGGGATTTATGTAGTTAAACTAATTTTGCAAATCAAACAAGCATTAAAAAAAAAGTAGAATATTTAAAGGTATTTGTTAATCTTGTGAATGGTAGCTTTTGTGCAGAGCTTCCAAAAACAAACAAAATCTGTTGTAGTTATATACTTTATTTATCCCCAGTCACAAGACCCGGGGATCTTCTAACCTCACTTTTACAGTAGGTATTACTCTTGTGACATTTTTTGGTTGTCAGTGACTACTGACTACATATAAAATACTTTAGGAAAAAATAAGACTGTCTTACAAAGTCTTCCCAGCTGTGATTATTGATTAGCAGGTCTCTTAAGTTGAGCACTTAAGAATCAATGCAAATTTCCCATCCTTTCTGGGTTAAATCAAAGATCCTTTTTGTGTGTTCTTTCACCTTCTCTTTCCTGCTCCCCTTGTATCAAAAAACAAAATACATTTTCAGGGAAACCTGAAATTTCTAATGGTTTGAAAAGCATATTACACTAGTAATGCTGCCTTTTGGTAAACAGCCCCGTTAACTCCAGATTAACGCACTGGAATATAATCACGACAAAGTCACATTTTAGTGCCATGTTCTCACGTGTGTCTCTCCTCTTCCACTTTATGAAAGCGAAAGCTTTACCTCCTGCAAAATGTCAGCACATGTAGTAGGACACCAGTATCCTAGGACAGAGAGCCATAAGTAGCCCTTTGGAGGACAGATGGTGTCAACCAAAGGCATGTGATTGATTAATGGTTTCCCCTTAGAAAGCAAGTGGTACCAAAGTTGTGTTATCTCGAAAGCATTACAGGTAAGGGCATGTTATGGTTATTTATCATTGTCTAATGAATAGTAGAGGCATTAAAGGACTATGTATACATGATTAGGGTAAGGTAGAATGTATCATATATATATATATATATATAGCTGAATCTTTGGTATATCGAAATAGGCAGCACTCAAAGACAGAAGCGTCATCCAGCTGTCCCTCAGCACGTTCCTTGACTGCGCAGTTTCAAGCCGTCCTAGTAGAGCAAGCCCTAAAGCAGATTTAAGTTTCACCATTTTCCAGGAATGATAGTATCGGCTGACTTTTAGTCAGAAAATGGCCTTCTGTGCTTTCGAAAGCTAAACAAAAACAATTCAAAAGAAAAAGTTGAACTTGTTACATTTAATTTAAACTAAGTACAAATGCATTTGGAGAAATGTTAAGAATAATTTAGTCAATCGTTAATCTGTCATTGATACTATAAAATAAGATGTGGTCTGTTTCCACTGTTAAATTTTCTACTCAGTTCTACCAAATAGGATGTCATGTTTGGCATTTTCAATACTGACTGGGATCTTTTTCACAGAAAGCACCTTAGAAGTGTACTGTAAGAAAACATTTCCCACATGTATAATTATATAAACGTGATGTTTATTGCTTATTAATTTATAATTCAGTCATTCTCTTATATAGGACTTTTTTAAATTTAGAAGGGAAATCTAGGTACTTCCAATTGTCTATCAAAGTTATTACGCCCAAATCAACCTCTGAAAAAGATATTTTCAGGAAGGTTTACATTTAGGTTTAGTATTTTTTCAGTTAGGTAGAGTTTTCAAAATACCTGAGACTGTGAGAAAGTTATACAATTCAATAACATTTTTAGAATGTTAAACCAAGACACTGTTTCCTAACATTAGTGAAATAAGTCTTTGAATTTAAACATTCATATTTAATGAGTGCCTCCTAGGTGCCAGGCACTATTGTAGGCACTGGGGATATAGTGATGGATGAAACAGACAAAAATCCCTGCCCCCTTGGGGCTTACACACTGAGGAGGGAATTCCATTTTGCCGTTTACTAGCATTCTGCATAAAAGATAAGCTAGCCTCTTGATAGCTCCTAGACTGTTTAAAAGAAAACTTTTTACATTGGTTACATTAATTTTAGTTTATTTTCACAAAAATGGCTTCATATTTAGATTCTGTCACAGGCTATTGATCTTAAGACTAGTTTACTTAAAGGATTTTTTTGTACAACATTTCAGTTATATTTGTGAATTTCAAAATTAACCAGCCGTCATACTGTATCAGGCTGGGTATCTCAATAGTAGATTGAATACAAAGCTAATTTTTTTACATGTCAGTTTTGGCACAAACTGGAATGAAAGAATAGATACTTTGATTCAGACCTGTTCCACTCTCTATTACTAAAACTCATGCTATGGGCACTCCAGGAAACACTTTATTTTTCCCCAAAAATATGTAATCATAGATGTTAAAGTGTAGATAATATTTCACATTTGGAATATATGTGTGTATTTACTGTATCTCTTGGTAGGAATATTTTAGGGGGAAAAGTGCTGCTGATAAGATAGGAATAGACAAGATTTAAATGAAATTTTGTCACATTCTATGAAAAATGGTTTCTGGTAAACTGAGAAGGATATTAAAATAAGTGACTTTTTTCTGGGCTACCACTATGGTTTGATTTCTCTTTGTCAAGTGTACAGAACCTGTCATACATTCATGATAAGTAGCACTGAAAAATTACCCATTCAAATTTCCCCTGGGCACTTATGGCAGAATACTGCCAGGTAGAATGTAATGGTCAGTGGCAATGCATTCCCTCCCAATACAGACCTCCCCTGCTGGACACGGGGAGGCAGAGAGTCACTTGACCATCCAGAAACACGTGAATAAAAAGCCTTTCTGACTGTTCGCCGTTTTTTTAATCATATTTAGTATCTTGATCAAGCTTTAGTCTCCAGTAACTAAACAAGTCACCAAGTTTCCTCGTTTTAATTACTCTTTGATTAGATTTGAGGCAAATAAATACTACAGGTCCATGCAGCTAGAACACACTTGTTTGTACTACTGAATATACAGGGTATGTCCTAACACAGAGTTGACTGAAGAGCAGTACACTAGCAAGTGTCTAGGGATCCTTATCATTGAAGGGGCCACATAAATGCTTTGGTAATACCTACTGAGTGAACTGGAGGAAAGAGCAAATAAACATTATCTGCAAATTACTTCAGATGGGAAAAATCTTTTTGTACATTTGGACTCTATCATATCCTCCCTATTCACCAGCTTCTGAAAAGGGAGGAGTATTTTTAGTTTAATAATTTAAAAACAGTACATTTCCAGGTAGGGTAAAATTGAAGCTATTTGATGCAAACATCATTTAATTTTGCTTAAAATCGAAAATCATAATACTGTTGCATTCTGTAAATGTTGCAGGGTATTAAACTTTACAATTATTTTAATATTTTTGATAACTAGGAATCTAGTATTGCCATAAAGGAAACTAAGTGCCCATTAAAGATTTGTTTGGTATAAATAAATAATTTTTTGTTTTGTTTTAAATGACAGTAAGCTACAAATCATGACGTTAATCTTAAACTTTCTGAAGATGAATTGTGTGGCAGTGATTGTATGGTCTGTTTGTGGAGAATGTGTGGAAGCTATTAATGTTCTAAAATAGATGAATAAATTGGCTATGTTGTTCCAATGAATGTACAGCACTTCCATTAACTTTTGAAAGCAACACAGCCTTAAACTCAATGCTTTTGCTTTATGACATGGGAATGTTCTGTCATCAACAGAGTGTGTTCTTGTAATAGAATTCTGTATATCATTCTCAATTCTATAGCCTTTCAATCCTATGTATGAGTATGAAGGTTTTTTGCTTCCTTTTTTTTTTCTTTTTAAATTTTGTACATTCCATCTTTATAGGTCTGTTTCATATGTTTTGTGTATAGAACACTAAGTCTTGCGCTCTCTGACACTGATACTGATATATTCTCATCATTTGTTCTTTTATGAATCAAAATGCTGACTGCCTATTTAAAGAATGAACGCTGTGCATCAAAGTGTTTGTATGTTCGTAGCTACATACGTACCACAGTATTTTGGATGCTTTAGTCTACAATAAAACTTTAAATTAATTCTGTCTTGAAACATAGGAGAAACAAGATTCATGTGTATATCTTAACCATGCAGAAAATCTCGAATCATTATAATAAAGCTTGTTTTCTCCATTCCCAGGGTGAATGTTTATTTAACATATTGTTCTATTTTTTAGTGAAGGGAAATGAGGGAATGTTCTAGAATATGTGGAAGATATGAATACCTCAACCAAATTGTTTATCTTACTGATAAAAAAAATTGCTTAGTAAAATTTTTGTTCTTTATGATGCTAATAATCTGTTAGCTTTTAGGATGTATCTTAAAGAGGAATTTGGAAAATCATGACATGTATGTACAGCACATACATTTAGAAGGTCAAATAGATCAAAATCACTATCTTTATAATGCTTAGAGAATCACAAGATAAAGAGACCTTCTGGCAGTCATGGCAGTCACATTTCTAGGGGGTGAAGGACTAGAAAGGGACCTCACTATAAACATTGTCTTTATGGTCCAGAATTTAATTAGAATGAAATTCATTACAATAAAAATTTCTATATTACATCAAGCTAATGGCCACACATTTCAAGCAGTACTCAAGCCATCTAAAGGACACATCTGGACAGTCCTCTGGAGGTTCTGTTGTAAACGAACCTGATGGTAAATGTACAAATAATAAGGTATCACTCTGTCATATTCTTTCAAAGGAGTTAGTTTCCACCATCTGTCTTAAATGGAATAAAACATTTCTTAAATGTTGATCTCTCTTCATAATGTCAAAGTTGTCATTTTAATGCCGCTTATCTACAGGCCAGTATCTTCCCCACAAGATTTAAGAATAGGTAAGCTCTTAATCGAGTGGTGTGTGGACTTGATGCTTGTTCTTTTGTTCTCTTATAAAGAACTCGTCTTTCTTCATTGATTGTAAACAAGTCATTGCCTTACACATATGCATACCACTTTTTTTCCTGATGTATTTGTAGGCTTTTTGATTTTTCATTGTCTCTGATTTCTATTTTGCTGTGATGGAATGAACACTAACATTTATCTTAATTAGAGTATCATTTGTGAACAATGGAGGGACACAGCAAAAATTTGTTTTGTTTTTCTGAGGGTTAAAAAAATTCATAATAGATTGAAAGTCTAAAAGAGGTGACCTAAGTTAGTCTTGGAAGGAGAGATGAAACAACAGAAATGAGAAAAAGACCAAACATGACTCTGCTACCTAGTACCTGTGAATATTAGTATCATTGAATCCTACTTCTATTCCTCACTTACTTTTTTCTTTTAACCAAGCAGGCCCCCTTGTCATCCTGAGCTCTTTGGAGGTTTTCAGAAGCCCTTGCCCTGTGTTTTAGCATATCTCAGATTGCCCTTCGGGACCTCATTTCACATAAAGCCGGATGCACCCTTTCCAGAGCAGACAAAGGGTTCAATGTTATTGCCTAGGTTAAGAGGCAGGAAGGGCAAGCCACATTCTATCCTTGACCCCACACTACTGTCTCCTTTTTGTTGCTACAGTCATTGAACAAATGTCTAAGCACCTGAGGCACACCAGGCTTTGGGCTAGGTGTAAGGGAAATAAGGATGAATAATACAGCCAGTAACCTCTAAGAGCTTACAGTCTGGTTGGTGAACCAGACCAGGTAATTACAGTACCATGAGCTGCTTTTATAGGCAGTCATTCGCAAATATTTACGGAGTCTAGTATGATCAGTCCTGTTCTAGCCACTAGGAAATAACAGTAAACAAAAAAAGTCCCTGTTCTCAGGAGCTTTATTCTACTGGAATGAGTCTTAAATGAACAATATAGGGCTGGCTACATAATTTGTGGGGCCTGGTACAAAACGAAAATGCAGGACCCCTCGCTCAAAAAGAATGAAAAGAGTTTTTTCCTTTTTCTGTGGTCTCTCTCTCAACCGGTGGTGGTGGTGGTGTGTATTTGCTATTTAATGTCGCATTCCCTTGGGCATAGGGATACTCACTGGGTAAGTGCAGACTCACATGCACCTGATGCCCCACATCATGACTCAGACTCGCCCCACACCTGTGCCCAGGCCCCCTGCCAAGAGTGGAGAGTGGCAGGGGTCGATGGGTGGGGCCGAGGAAGCGGCAACTGAGAACTCTTGGGGGGTGGGGGTGGGCAGAGAGGTGGTGGTGTGGGAGGACCACCTGTGAGCCAAGCTTGCTGAAAGAGGGCAAGAGAGCATGAGTTGTCCAGGGAAGAACAAGCAGTTCAATATCGTGAGACCAGAGAATGCTCAAGAAGAAATGGCGAGAGATCAGGCAAGATTACAAAAAAGAGTAAGGTACGGTGTCTGTTTTCAGGGAGTTTACATCCCAGATGGAAAGATTAAAAGAGCACCAGTTTACATCCCAGATGGAAAGATTAAAAGAGCACCAGTAACTATAATACAGAGCAAATTAAAGAAAGAGCCAGAGAAGTGTTAAAGCAGGAGGGAAATTGCAAGTTATCACGTAATTGATGGGGACAATCCTACTTCATGCTTGTTGTCCCAGCATAATTATAAATAGCAGTCTCTCTCTCTCAGAAGTGTCGGGGTTTGGATGATAAATTATATTCTCGCTCTACACCACTGTTTCTCAGCCTTTTTTTCCCGTTATCATCCATTACATAATAGCATGGTCATTTCTAACTCAGGAGATGTGGTGTGACTGAGAGGTTGATAATGTTGATTATTTCTTCCTCGAAATTTTCTCCTCTTTTGGTTTTTCATTCTTCTACTTCTTTCTACCTTGTAGACTTTTCCCTCTGTCTCTTTCAAATGACTTTACTTTCTTTCCCTACTTCCTTAATAAAGCTTCTTCTATAGGTCATGCTTTTCAGAATTTCAAGGAAGGGCCATGAGAAGGTTATCTTCAGTTTGGGGTGCATTCCTGAGAATGGCAGGGAACCAAAGGCAGTAGAAACTGTCTCATCTCCTGGGTGGTGGTCATTTTGAGGTTTGGTATTCCAAGACTGGGGTACACATCAGAAATCTCAGAGAACTGTGACGATAGTTCAGTGATGTTTGGGATACAGCCGCAGGTCCAATGACCAAGTCTCTCTAATGTGCACTTAGCACTCATCTTTCCCAAGAGAAGACCAGTTGGGTCAATTTGTCACTGTCCAAGGCTACCTTGGACACCTCAGAGGCAAGTGGTCTGCCTTAGGTTTATCCAATACACACTGCCTTTGGCTTAGCACGTAGCTCTGGTCTAGTCAGGCATGGCCTAGCTGGCAGAGAGTTCATTTGATGGATACGGCAAGACTCACAACTCTCCGTGGGAAGAATGCTGGGGGTTTAGAGATGCAGAGAGCACCACCTAGAGTTTCATAGCATCCTCTCCAGTGAAGTTCTGTCCTCAGGTCTCCTCTCTCCCGTGTTCTCTTCTTCCACAAACTCTTCCATTCTCTTGGGAAAAGAAAGAAAGGTTTGTAAAGATTTTTAAATGCCCAAACGGAGACGTGCACACATCTTGAGTGGCTTTTCCTCCTTTCCTGTCTCACCCTTGCTGCTTCCTCACTCCCAAATAAATTACCAGCACATTTTTGTCTCAGGTTCTATGTTTTTAGGAATTCAAACTAAGACAAACAGGGGATTCTGGGTTCCCAGGTCCCTAGTCTAGAAGGGAGCTTATAGGTAACAGATGGGCATGTCCCTTTGGCTTTGTAGACTCCTTGCCAATGGGGAGGGATGTGGCTGGAATAGGACCAACAGGGCCCTCTACAGAGCAGGGTCCATGGCAAGGGCTGGCTACCCAGATGCAAGGGCAGCACTGACTAGAAAATAAACTCTTGAAGGGTGTGGCCTGTCTGGTTCATCTTCACACAATTTGCAGGCAGCAGATAAAGTAAAAAGAAGGAAATTCATGTATGCTTAAGGATTTTGCAAAACACAAATTTGTTGAATAAACAAATGCCATTTTACTATAACAAATGCTAGATGGTGGGTACAAGATCCAAATTCATGAGTACTTCTCAGATGCTGCAAATAGTTATTTGCTTTCGTACTTCATAACTTATATACTACATCTGCCCGCTCCATAATATTGCAAAACGTGTCTCAAGACATCTGAATGGTAAATAATTTCAGAATTCTATTGGTGAGAATAGTAAATGAGAAAGCACTACTCAATGTAAATAATTAAGATTTTAGTAAAGCAAAATATCCTTCAGTTTGTCACCTGAAAACTGTATCTAGTTATCCCTAAGTCAATGACGAGATGGTGTTCTTGAATGCCTGGTATATTTATTTAATACACATTTATTGCATGTTTATTATGTCAGGCACTGTGCTAGGCCTTGGTGATACCAAAATGGTTGGCTTAGTCTCTGCCATGGAAAGGAGTTTGATATTGTAGGGAAGCTGTCCAAGTAAACAATTACAAAATGAAGGTGAGGTGTTATGATAAAACCACAGAGAGTGCTATAGGACCACAGAAGGCACCCACCTGCTCATGGCGTGGGGGAGGGGAGGCAGAGAGGAAAAGATTCCTGGAGGCTACACCTGTGCCATCTAAAGGATGGGTAAGGGTCAGCCAGGTGAAGAAAGCCTGCTCCTGATGGAGCAGAAGAGGTATGGCAGTCTAAGAGCAGATTAAGACAAGGCTTCCCACAAATGTCACCTTTATGATTTTTGTCAAATCTATGTATCACCAGTACAATTACTTAATATTTTTCTTAAATATCACTTTCATGATTTACTGACATACCTACTTCAGCTGTATCTTGAGCAATACATGAGAAACCTAGGGTGTGATATGCTAATTATACATTTTCTGGTACATATTAAAACATATATCAAATGGCTATCCATTTATTATTTTAAAAACCTCTCATCTACCATCAATTGGTATTGTATTGTAATACACTCTAGAAAAACTAAATTAATGGAACTCCAAGCAATTCAATATATCCCTTCCCCTGCTTCTATATGAAGTAACAGGAGCTACAAATTCCCATTTTATTTTATTTTATTTTTTATATAATTTTATTTATTTTTTCCCCAAAGCCCCAGTAGATAGTTGTATGTCATAGCTGCACATCCCTCTAGTTGCTGCATGTGCAAAGCGGCCTCAGCATGGCCGGAGAAGCGGTGCGTCGATGGGCGCCCAGGATCCGAACCGG